ACTGGGGGTGCTCCTGGCATGAAGGGGTTGGGCTCAGGGAGGCTGCTCGGCCCCCAGCAGTGCCTAGGACGGCCCCATAGGGAGGAAGCTGGCCCAAGTGTTAGCAGTGCCGCAGGGGAGACCCTGAGTGAAATGACATCGAAGATTGGGCCCCGCCTTGGGGCTTGCACGAGGGGTACTCTGCACCCCCACCTGTCCCCCAGCAAACCTTTCGGAGTGAAGCTTGTCCCTGGCCTGTCCTACACACAGGGTCCCCACGTCCCCACCTCTCCACCCCCGGAAGGCTTCCCTTCTCGCAGCACCTGTGGAGCTCACAGGATACCCAGGCCTGGGCCTGTCTCCACCATCCCCAGGGACCCCCCCCCACTCAGAGAGCCAGGCCAGGGACAGAATGGCCCTGGGTCCCCCGTCTCCACGCCTCCCCACGCATGCACACAAGCATCTCATTCACGTGGCACTCCCGGCGCCTGGCACCCGCTCTGACGCTTAAAATAGGCGCACAAGCAGCCTTTGTTGGGGAGAGGAAGGAAGGCAGGAAGGAAGGAAGGCAGGCAGGCTTCAGACAAAGGAGACAGCAAACCGCACCATCCAGGAAAGGGAGGCTGTGCTGAGCGGAGGGGCAAGAGGGGCGGGTTTCTGCAGGCAAAGTGAAGGTCACAGGGGAAAGGTGAGGTGGGGCCAACTCCCGTGGTGCCACCCAGGCCGCCTGGGGCATTTCGATTCTGTCAAGTGGGTGATGAGTTGGAAGAGGAGGCAGGGCAATGACAGACACACCGTGCCTCACGGAGCAGATTCTGGCGGACGGAGCTGCCCACCTGGGCGGGCCAGAAGGCCACCCACCTGCTAGGATGCGTGGTGGCCGGAGACCACAAAGCACTTAACTGAAGCGGAAAAGAGACGGGGAGGACCTGGAAGGCTGACCCCCAGGCTGCCCCAAGCTTCAGTTCAACAGGCCACCAAGTGCCAGGAAAGAGCCACTTAAATAGCAGCTTGATTGTTCAGTACCGAAATGGGGGCGGGGGCAACCCAGAGTCCAGCCAGAGGAAGGGGGAGAGCAAGTGTGTCCGCTCACGGGGCGGGCTATCACTCACCCAGGAACGGGAGCGAGGCCCCCACGCGCGGCCCCGGGGGCGGACCCCGAGCCCACGACGCTCAGGGAGGGACCCAGACACAGAAGGCCACACGGGGTGTGAGTCCACGCGTGTGACACGCCCAGACCAGGGCCCTCTGTGGACGGGAAGGGGCCCGGGGAGGGGAGATCAGGGAGAGATGGTTAATGGTTACAGGGACCCTGTATGAGTGATGGAAGGCTCCAAAGTTTCACGCGGTTGGCTGCACAGCTCCGTAACCTGCCCCCCAAAACTGAACTCTGTGACTTCCCCCCAAAACTGAACTCTGTGCTTAAAATGACTGAATCTTATGGCGCGGAAATTGTACTTCTATTGAAAAGAATGAAAAGCAGTAAGATCCTCCCCTCTGCAAGGTTCTCAAGGAAAAGTAGTAGCCGTTTCTGGAAGTCTCAGAGCTGCCCAAAGCCGCCCTGCGTGCCAGCTGGCAGGGTGGACAAGGAGGGTGGGGGCCACCACCCCACACCCCAGCTCCCGAGGACAGGTCACTCCGTCTTTGCAGCAGCCCCAACTGGTCCCCAAGGTGTGCTGGGTGACATACGCCACGGTTTTCCTCTGGAGCCTGGAGAGCGAGAGGCCAGGCTGGAGGCGGCACGAGACAGAAGCAACAAAAAGCCAGGTCCAGAACTGTGGACAAGGACAGCGGGAAGCGCGGGGAGGCCCCCGGAACCGCAGACGCCAGCCACCACGGACCCGAGCACGCGGGCGTCCGGTGGGCGCCGGAGAAACCTTCCTGAACAGAGGTCCCGGCGGGCAGTCACCTGCTGGCCGCTACTGCGGGCACAAAGGAGGGCGGGGGTAACTCTGTACCAGTACCCAGCAACCGTGCAGCTGTCCTGGTAACCATCCTCTCTAGAAAGCTCCAGAAACTTCCAGAGCCCTGGAGGCCACACACAACGGCCCTTTTGTGGGAAACTACAAAGGGCTTCGAGCACGGGAATGACCTAGTAAATGCCCTGTTAAGGACTCTTCTTGGTTTCCGGATGCAAATGAGAAAATTTGTAACGACACCTTGAACAGAAGAAGCAGCTTTTTACTCAACCGCGCGGCGTACACAAATAACGCGCCCGCTCAGTAAGCGCGAAGCTGAGCCTGTGCTGGGTAATTCATACTCCCTCGTCCTTCCCTTCAAACCCAGGCCCCGGGCAGCAGACAGGGCAGAGGATGGCATCGTTCACTGCACACTTTCTAAGTAAGACCAGGAATCGCCCTCACGCCCTTGGCATCTGGGCAAAACTCGCGCGCTGGGTTAAAAACGGGGAAACAACCCCGAAACCTCGGCATCGCCCAGGGCTTGTGACTTAGCGGTTCACCCCGGGCGTGCGACCCCGGGAATGCGCGTTCAGAAGCCACACGGAAGACGAAGACGCACTGGGAGAGAAGCCAGCACCGCTAAGATCCTCAGGAAGCGTTTTTCCTCTCAAATCCCGGCACCCGATGACTTTCAGAGCCACCCCAGGTATAAACGGCCACACTTCTAAGGATCAAAGGGGGGATGTGGTCTGCGGAGGGGAACATAACCTCGTTTTGCCTAGAACAGGGGTCACTCCTGGGGTGACTCTGCACCGAGGGGGCACCGGGCAGTGTCCGCGGACGGCTGTGGCCATCATGAATTTGGGGGCTGCTGGCATGGAGTGGGTGGGGCCAGGGAAGCTGCTCAGCGCCCCCCAGTGCCCAGGACGCCCCACAGACTGCGACCCCACCCCGACGTCAGCAGTGGCGAGCGGAGACCCGGGTCCGTCATGTGAGCGCGGCTGTGGGAGTTCCTACATGCAACGAGCGTGTAACTGCGGCCCGGCAGTCCCCTTTGGGGTACATACTGGAATGGCCCCTGGGGGTACACTGAAATCACAATGGCCCATGCACGCAACCTTCTCTTAAGCAGATGTGCCAGTTCCGGACAAACCTTCAGAATCTCCTAGTTTCAGACCCTTCCTCCTTTCTACTTTTTCCTTACTTTTAATGATAGGGACTTTTTTCCCCCCCCAGAGATTCTTTTTTAAAGCTCCAGGGGTGCTCTGCGTACCCCAAGGCTAAAGCACTGCAGTCAAGCTCCAGCTGACGCCTTCCCTTCCCTGCCCCTCCCTCTGTGACAACCCAGTAATTCTACCCACCCACCTTCCCCCTCCCAAAAAACCCCTTAATTTAGAACATTATTATCAGCGACTCACGTCCCCCTGCCATGTGCCAGGAGCGCGCTGGGTGCGTGCATTCCCTCGTCTGACCCCCGGGCAGTCCTGTGAGGGGCCCGCTACTGCTTTCCGACGCCTGGCTCGCGGGGCAGCAAAGTAAACTCCCAGGCGGCCAGAGGCCCAGCCTGCCCTGCGCAGCCCACCACACCCTTTGTTTCCGCAAGACCTCGGCCCACCACTCCGGCCAAGTGTGTGAACTGGGCATCCCTGCATCCGGACACCTAGCAACAGTCGTGGCCCTCGAGCCGCTGTTCATCACGCCTGTCCTCTCCCACCCACGGTCCAGCCCCCAGCAGCCCCCGCTCGCCCCAAAACACAAAGCGCCACCCACATCCTTCAATACCATCACCCCCAAAACTCCCACCTTGGTTCCTCGGTCCTGAGCCCAGAAATTCCTGGAAAACTCGGTCACCGCCACGACCCGTTCTGCTTACACCCTGCGTCCTAGAAGCTGACCTCCCAAAGTATGTCGGACCCCCTTGTCCTCCAGCTCACCGGAGCCCAGGGGTTTCTGCACCAAATGGTTAGCCCCCCAAAGCCTCCACAATCCTCGTAACTGACTTCTAACCAAGACCCCCCACTTCCTCCTGACTCGTCGTCGTCCTCCCCCTAAACCCCAGCACCAGGTTTCAGAGCCCTCCATCACCACGGCCCTCAGACCCGGCCGAGAGGGGACTGGCCCTCCCAAGCACTGTGCCCCCTTTCTCTGCTCCCCTCTCTGGGGTGGCCTCAGTCATTCCCCGGGGTCCCCAGCTCCACCCCTGGCTGCACACCTCAGTCTCCTCCCTGCCCGCCTGCAACCCCAAACTCCCAACGCAGCTCCCTCCCCAGCTCACGACCACTTTCAACTCACCCCCACCCTCCCCGGACCTCCACCCCAATCTGACTCAGACCCCAACTACAGCCCCAGCCCCCACCTCCCTCTGACCCCCAACTCCAGTCTGGATCCCCAGCCCCCGCCCCTTCGTCACTGACCGGGATGCCCAACTCCAGCGGAACCCCTCCCCCCCGTTCCCCGCCCCACTGCTCCCCGCCACAGCCCCTCCTTCACTGACGGTGACCCTCAACTCTGGACCAGACCTGCAGCCCCAGCCCCTTCCTCACTGACCGCGACCCCCAACTCTAGACTCGACCCTGGACCCAGCCTCTTCCTCACTGACCAGGACCCACAACTCCCGCGGATCCGCGGGCCACAGCCCTTTCCTCACTAACCGCGACCCCCAACTCCGGCGGACCCCCCCCCCCCCCCCCTCCCTCCCTGCCCGCCCCCCCCACCTCCGGCGGGCCCCCCCACAACCCCTTCCTCGCTGACCGAGACCCCCAACTCTGGACCGGACCCCCGGCCGCAGCCTCTTCCTCACTGACCGCGACCCTCAACTCCGGCGGAGCCCCCCACAGTCCCTTCCTCACTAACCGCGACCCCCAACTCTGGACCGGACCCCCCCACACACAGCCCCTTCCTCGCTGACCGCGACCCCCAACACTGGACCGGACCCCCGGCCCCAGCCCCTTCCTCACTGACTCCGACCCCCAATTCGGTCCGCAGCCAAATCGGAGCCCTCCCAGGGCGCCTTCCCCGGGCCGCCCCGGCCCGCTCTCCGCCCGGGCCGCGCCCCTGTTCCCCCGGCCCGAGGCGGGGGCGGCCGACCCCGGCCCGGCCCACGGCTGCACGCGCCCTTACCTGCGCTCGGGCAGCCGCGGCCGCCTCAGCCCCGCCGCGCAGCCGAACCCGCAGCCTCGCCGGCAAGCGCCCGCTCCCTCCGCGGGGCGGGGCCGGAGCGCGGGGGACGGGCACTGGCAGCCAGCGCGGCCAATCAGGAGCCCCGGCTGCGGGAGGCTCCGGCCGGGGTGGGGCATGGGGCAGGCAGCGGGGTAGGCTGCACCCAGGCGAGGGGGCGGGGCTAGTGGCGTGGGCGGGGCCAGGGGCGGAGCGCTGAGTGGCAGCGCCGCTAGCCACCCGCGAGCGGGGACCGCGTTGGGGGGCGGAGCTATGCTGATATGCAAATAGGCCCTCTGTGGCGGACTCCGCCGCCAGTGACGAGCGGATTTCCAGAGGTGACTCGGTGACGTCAATGGGGTGCGAGGCGATTCGCGATTGGAATTCAAGAGCCTAGCTCCTGGGCCTCACTTTCGGGAGAAGTATATCCCTTCCTCATAGATCGCTTGACCTGCGGGGCAATAACAACTTCCCCATCATTTTGAACCTTCTGCATAAGACTAAGAGGTGAAATTGCCTTGTCCCCATTTTACAGAGGTGGTAATTGAGTCTCAGAGAGGTTAAACCCAAGGTCATTTGCCCAAGCCTGTCTCATAATTTCCAGCGTTTCTCAATTTCCTAATTCCTGGGCCTGGATCTAAGAAAACCAGGTTCATGGGGCACCTGGGTGGCTCAGTGGGTTAAGCCTCTGCCTTCGGCTCAGGTCAGTATCTCAGGATCTCAGGGTCTTGGGATCGAGCCCCGCATCTGGCTCCCTGCTCAGTGGGGAGTCTGCTACTTCCACTCTCTGTCTCCCCCCTCTGCTTATGCTCTCTCTCATGAATAAATAAAATCTTTTAAAAAATGATTTAGAAAATGAAAAAGCATGTTCCTTGGCCCCCACCCAGATTGAATGATCCAGAATTCCATGGAGCCCTGGAATGCATATCTTTAAAAAGCTCCCCTGGTGATGTTGGAAAATGTATGGTATGTCTCCAAAAGCATTGACAGTCAGGGAGGGGAGGATTTCTTATAAGAAGATGAAGCCACCAGATGCCAGGACTCCTAGAACTTCATGTAGTTTACTGATACTCTGTGATCTGAGCCTCTGGCCTCCCAGCTGAGCACCTCCAGGGCTCCCATCATCCCTGTAATCCCCTGCAGTGCACAGAGAGAACCAGGAGCCTGGGAACCAGCATCTCACTCTCCAGCCCCCATCTCTTTGTAAAGATGGAATTGTTACCTAAATAAGGGTCACAAACTGCTGGCCGACAGGTGGGATATGGCCCCCAAATCCTTTAAAAATGTAAATCCATTGCTACCATTTAAAAATAAGAACATTTCACAAAAAAAAAAAATCTAGATTTCCAGGCTCTCTTGGAAACTCAGGTCTGGCCATACCTGGGCTGGCTGGGCCAAGTGACTGAGTGTAGGTCACCCAAGGACATCCTCCTGTGATCCCAAAGACAGACCAGGACGAGGACTGTGGTGAGACAAGAAGGGCACTTTTCTCAAATCCCAAACCTAGAGGGTCCCCAATAAAAAACAAAACAAAACGAAACCAGAAAACCCAGAAAACCTTGCTATCAAGGTAAATACTGTGTGAATCCAATATTTTAATTTTTTTAAAGATTTTATTTATTTATTTGATAGAGAGAGATCACAAGTAGGTGAAGAGGCAGGCAGAGAGAGAGAGGGAAGCAGGCTCCCTGCTGAGCAGAGAGCCCGACGCGGGACTCCATCCCAGGACCCTGGAATCATGACCTGAGCTGAAGGCAGAGGCTTAACCCACTGAGCCACCCAGGCACCCCTGAACCCAATATTTTAAAAATTCAAGATAAACGCAGAAATAATAGAGGACAAACAAAATACCAAAATGCGACAGAAAATCAAGACCCAGGGCTGTGCTCAGGCTGATGGCCTCCCTCGCTTCCTCCAGGCCCTGTCAGATCCTCTTTATTTAAAATACTAGTATATTGGGGCGCCTGGGTGGCTCAGTGGGTTAAGCCTCTGCCTTCGGCTCAGGTCATGATCTCAGGGTCCTGGGATGGAGCCCCGCATTGAGCTCTCTGCTCAGTGGGAAACCTGCTTCCCCCTCTCTCTCTGCCTGCCTCTCTGCCTGCTTGTGATCTCTCTCTCCGTGTCTAATAAATAAAATCTTCTAAAAATAAGTAAATAAATAAATAAAATACTAATATTTGGGGGGCACCTGCGTGTCTCATTTTGTGAAGCGTCTACCTTTGGTTCAGGTCATGATCTCAGGCCCGCATCGGGCTCCCTGCTCAGCAGCAAGTCAGTTTCTCCTTCTCTCTCTGTGATCTCTCTCAAAGAAATAAATAAAATCTTAAAAAATATATATATATAAATTTTTTTTCACCATGTTTCCCTTGGCACTAAATATTGCTTTAAAATATGTGTCTTGATGGCTGAGTTTTTGGTGTCCCCCATTTAAGTTTTGTGCCCCTGGTGAGTGCCTCACTCTCCTCACCTCATCCTGCCCCTGCTTTTAAGTTTGCAAACTTCAAGCCACCATTTAGCTGATGGGGAAGCTGAGGTCCTACCGGTTCCTCCGCAAGTTAAAGGAGGCTCGTAGCTCCTGCTCATTCCCGGCATCTGGCATCTGACTGCACTAATGGGCTCCAGCAGGGCCCCTGAGGTCTCCTGTTGGGGGGGCCACCAGAAGAAGTGCTGATCTTTTCAACCTCTTCCCATAGCAGCTTTTTTTGTCCCCTTCCCTCACCCCCATCCCTTACTCCCATCCCCACCCCTCACCTCCCTCTCCTTCGTGTTTCTCTTCTGCAGCTGGTGGGCTGTCCTCCCTGATGCCAAAAAAAGGGCACTGACAGGAGATGCAGGATCCACTTCTTTATTGCAGGAAGACTATTTCTAGAGCAAATGCTACACAGACCCCACAATGGGGGGCAGGGGGCACCCACATGCGGGGGGAGAAGGGGCAGGGGTGGAGTCACAGCAAGCATGGCCTGGCAGGGTCCCCAGAACCAGGGGTGCCCAGGCAAGACGGGCTCTCAGGTCCCTCCTGCGGCAGGAGCCCCTTCTCCCCAGGGGCCCATGGCCTGGGGCGGGGGGAGAGGCCTGGAGGTGGGCGGGGCCCCAGGGAGATTGTGCTATCAGGGTGTGTCCCTGAGAAAGGGCTGCAGACCCCTGCCCAGCAAGGCCCAGGAAACGCTCCCGGGGTGGGGAAGGGAGCAACACCAGTTGCTGGTGGACCCTGGACCCGCCGCAGGGTGGGGGGCTCAGCTGTGCTCAGGCAGGTTGCTACCAGCTCTTCCAGGGGGCCGTCCCCGTGCCAGGCGGTGACACACACTTGCACACACACACTCCCTCCCTCTACACAGTGTGCCCAGTAAACATTTGCAGAGTCACACAAACACAGACAGGACCAAACGCACAGCTACTAAGATGGACAGAAACGGTCTCTCTTACCCACAAACGGTCCCCGTGTGGTCACCGTACCACGACATGGTCTTTCCCGCACGTGCACACATGCAGGGCAGTCCCCACCCGCCTAAGAACACCCAAGCAAGCACACGCAGCCCCATCACGCCCCAGGACGCCCAGCACTGTGAGCAACCCCCGGGAGAGACCCAGGTGGCAAGGGGCCGCGGGTGGCGCTCGGGGCCTCTAGTGAGCAGCAGAGCCCCTCAGGCCTGAAACTGCAGAAAACGGAATGCCGCTGACAGCCGCGTGCGCTGGGGAGCAGATCGGTCCCCGGTCAGGCCTTCCGATGAGACTGCGCGCGGCCAGCCCGCACAGGGACCGCCGCCTCGGAGATCCAAGCGGAAGTCTCAGGGAAGCCGTGCCTGCCCTCCCGACCCACAGGAGCAGAGGCAACCGACAAGTGCAGTTTCTGGCGGTGGGTGTTGTGGTGTCTTGGTAGGCGCCACCAGCTGACGATACAGAGTTGGAGCTGAGAGCAACCTCGCTACCAGGTCAAACCGGCTGAGCGTTCCTCAGACAGAGCAGACAGGCTCACGGATGTGGTCCTAGAAATCACGTCACCCACTCCCCAAAGTACGACCACTTACAATCCCACTGAATGCTGGTACGAAGGTTCCCATCGACACAGAGAGCCAGTCCTGTCCACACCGCACTGCCCACCCCCACACAGAGCCTACACCACTATCACATAGAGACCGGGACATAGACCTACTATCCAAATGACAGACACACACACACACACACACACGTGCACACTTAGACACATCTTAGACACAAGCCGTCTCCCTGTGCACACCACGCGGCACAAACACACCGGCCCGGGGGCGCCTCCGCACCCCAGGCCTGCAGCTCCCCTTCACGCTGGTCCCACACATCAGGGTCCCATGCATCAGGGTCCCACACGCGTGGTTATCCAGACACTCTCAGAGAGCACTTGGAATCTCATAGACATACACCTTCCCGGGCAGAGCCCCCTCTCTGGGGCACAGTTGGCGGGAGGCAGTGGGCTGGACAGAGCTCTGCCTGGAATCCCTCTGACCCTGCTGGTGCTGGGTCCAGCTGCCTGCCCCTGGACGGGGTCCTGGGGACCCCCTCCCCAGCACCCCATGGGCCCCTGCCTGAGGCTCACAGGTGACAGGCTGTGCCAATCTCTGGGGAGACCCCCATATTCACTCTGGATGGTCCCCTTGAGTTGTGCTGTGGCCATGGGCCAGTCCCAAGCCTCCCCTGGGTGCACCCCAGGTCCCCCAGGCAGGGAGAGGAGTGGGGTTCCAGGCTGGCCCGGCACCGTGGCAGGCTCTGTGGTTATTGCCTGGTGGCCTGAGACCCATCCCGCAAGCCCCTCCCCCTCACCGAGGCTGTGGGGACAGGGGTGAGGACTGTACTGGGGACCTGGGGTGGGGGCACAGGCCAGAGGTCACGAGGAATGGAGCAGGGGCAGCGTGTGTCAAACACCAAAAGGGGAGAGCAAACTCTTAGGTCCATGTGCATTTTCAGTCCCCCTCCCCAGCAAGGTCACAGTGATCTGATGGGGGAGACACAGGTCTGGCTCGGGGCCCCCAAGGGAAAGAGAGAGAGACGGGCAGAGACACGGAAGACTCGACATCCTCAGCTCCAGCGGGGACGTCCAGCTTCCCCATTTTCTCACGTGCGGATCCAGGGGGCCACCTCCAGCACTTGGCTTTGGGGGGTGCAGACAGGCCTGGGGGGGCGGGGGTGGGAGGCAGAGCCCGCGGCAGGGCCAGGTTGGAACCCCAGACCTGCCGCGGGCTCACCAGGACCTCAGTATCCCCCACAGAGGTGTTGGGTAAGAGAAGAGAAGTGGAAGAGATGAGAGGGAGAGAGAAGAAGGTGGGGAGGAGGGCCGGGAGGACCGGAGGCCGGGAGCAGAGGGAGGAGGAGCAGGGTCGGTGGGGGAGGCAGGGGCCGGCTGGTGGCGGGCGTTCTGGGCTCACATGAGGACGCATTTGCCCTTGACGCGGTCTGTCCTCTTCTGTTTGCTGGAGCGCTTGCCATCGATGTTCAGGCTCATGTTCCGGCGAGTCTCCAGCGTGAGCAGCTCCTGGAAAAGCTCCTTGACGTTGTAGTTCATCTTGGCCGACGTCTCCATGAAGGCGCACTTCCACTCCTGGGCTACGGCCTGCGCCTCGCGGGTGTCCACCTCCCGCTGCGTCTCGTCGCACTTGTTGCCCACCAGCATGACGGGGATGTCCTCGACACTGCCCTTGATCTGCACGATGAGCTTGTAGATGGGCCCCAGCTCCTCCAGCGACTGCTTGCTGGTGATGGAGTAGACCAGGATGAAGGCGTGGCCCTTGGAGATGGACAGCCGCTGCATGGCCGGGAACTGGTGGCTGCCCGTGGTGTCAGTGATCTGCAGCGTGCACACGCTCTTGTCGCAGCTGATCACCTGCCGGTAGGTGTCCTCGATGGTGGGGATGTAGGTGTCCCGGAAGGTGCCCTTCACGAAGCGCAGCACCAGCGAGCTCTTGCCCACGCCGCCCGCCCCGAACACCACCACTCGGTAGTCGTTGCTCTGCTCAGGCATCTTCCACGCGGTGGCAGGAGGTCAGGCAGGGCCAGGAGGGCTCGTGCCAGCTTCTAGAACCCCAGACCAACCCTGTACAGAGAGGAGTGTCAGGCACAAAAGGCCACAGGCAAGAGGGGACAGCTCTGGGCCCCCGCTGGGGCGGGGGTGCAGCTTCTCAGGGGACAAGGCATCTCTCCTGCGTCCTGCGGAGAACCCTTTGGTTGATCTGGCTGACTTCGCAATTCTGCCCTGTGTGGAGCCCTGGAGCCATCCCCCTTTGCTTGCTTCCCTGCCCCGACAGAACCTGGGGCCCAGGCTCGTTCCCCGGGGACTCTGGGCTGGAAGGGGAGTAGAGATGCCATCGTGCAGGGCACTAACTCCTTTCCTCACCTGCATGCCTCCCTCCCAGGCTGCACTGGCCTCTCCTTCTCTTCCCACTGTGCCCATGGGCTCTTGGAAGCCAGCAGAGCTGGTCTGTGACCTGGGCAAGGCTATGCATTGCCACCCTGAGCCTCAGAGTCCTCCTCTGCGAAATGGTGCCTCTCTCCAGCAACCCCAGGCTTCCTGTTTTTCCACAGCCCAGAGGTTCTCAAACCTCACGGGGGCCACGTGGTGGGGCGTCTTTAGTTTGCCTGTCCTCTTGGGCCCAGAAGGGACAAACCTGGTGGCCCAGGGCCATGGCCCTGGGAACTCGCACAGTACATATGCCTCCTCCCCTCTCTCACCCCGTAAGTGTGATCGTGATACTGGAAGTCCAAAAGCCATAATTTGCAAATCAGGGCACTGATTTCTGACAGCAGCCCAGGTCAGAGGTGAGAAAATGAAGCCTGGACCCAATGAGAAAGGTCTCCACTTCCTGCACTGTGCCCCCAAACCAGTCTGGCCTGCCACGGCTCTGGTTCAAGGTCTGTTAGTTTCTGGAGGAATAGACCTTCCTAAAGGACATCCTCCTAGCCTCTCTCTCTGCACCTGTACTCAGAGAGGTCCAGTGGCCTCCCGAGGTCACACAGCACAGCAATTCCTGAAATGCTGCAGGTGGGGGAAGAGGCCTGGGCTTGGGGTGGGACCGCAGAAGGCCTGTCTCCAGCATCTGTGTCCTTCCTGGCCATATCTATGGAGGTAGGTCCACAGTGGGAGGGAGGAGACACGAGGTTTCACCTGGACTAGGTTACCTCCCTTGGGTGTGTGTGGGGTATAAGACTCGGTGGTGTGAAGCCGAAGGTGAGAACCAGGACAGGTGGGTCGGGGTCCCCGAGCCTGGGTTTTGTCACAGCGCCTGCTCCATGAGTTGCTGGGACAAGCGATGCAGAAGCTGGAGAAAGCCCAGAGCCGGGCTCCTGGCACCAGGGGCCCCCGGTAAAGACGGACCATCGTGACCATTAGTCGTGAGGGCTCAGGGTATAAGCACTTGGCTGGCAGTGGGGTGTGAGGGCAGGTTCTGAAGTGACCAAAGCACCAGGTTTCCCAGAAACAGACAGGACGATCCAAGGAACAGCGGACTCACCCCCCACTTCCGCGCCAGGCACACGCGGCCACGCTTACCAGTACTAACTCCTCGTACATCACTAGGCACCTTGGTGACACGCATGGCAACTCTCAGCATTGGGAGGAAGCTGGGGTGGGGGGGGTAGGGAGGGATGCTGGCCCCCTCTGCAGGCACTGCCCTTTCCTGGGTGGGCACCCTGAGAGGGGGCATAAGGGTAAGGGTGTGCAGCCAGGCACCACCATGGCTGGCCGGGGACCCCCAGACCCCCAGGCAGGACTCCAGGCCCATCAGGACGTCCTCCAGGAGGGGCCCTGCTGGGGCTGCAGTCCCTGGACTAGGAGCCCCCATTCCCTAACCCCCACATCCATGCCAGGTACCTACCTGGCGCTGCTTGACTCCCACCCTCACTTCCTGCAGGGTGGGGGTACGGGGTGGCGGGCTCTGAGGCTCCAAGGGGGGAGGCCCCAGCTCAAGGTCACGGAGCAGGGAGGTGGCAGAGCAGAAGAGGACTTGAATTGGGCCCCAGCTGGCTACACAGCCCAGGGTCCTCCTCCTATGCAAGGTAGCCCAACCTGACCCTCCCCAGGCCGGGAGAGCAGGCCTCCACCCAGGGGAGGGCACAGGACACACACTCACACACTCACTCACTGCTTAACTGAATGGGGGAGGGGTCTGACCTAGGGACTACCTGCCTAACGAGGGGCTGGATGGCAGGGGGCCTGAGGGAAGGGAGGCACACTCAGGCGACCAGCCCCCGGCTCCCCTGGGCCAGCGGAGGCTCTCAGTGGTGGGGGAAGGGCCAAGGGAGGGGTTCCTGGGTGAGGGGCTTGGCTCGGCCCAGAGGCAGGAGGCTGAGCGGGTGCTCCGCGGGAAGACAAGCCCAGGACCCCTCTGACCCCTCACGGAGGGGGCTGCGACTGAGCGGGACCGACCCACCCAGAGGGGTTTGCGGCGGGCCTGGGGGAGGGGCTGGCTTGGAGGAGGGGCGCGCTGCCAGGACCGCGGGGGCGGGAGGGCGCCTGGGGGGAGCTGTCCAAGGTGGGCGCGCCGAGCGCGGCGCGGCCGGGGCTCCAGGGACTGGGGAGGGGGTCCGGGCGGGCAGTGGGGAGGGGGGCGCCGGGAGCGGGAGGGCCTGGCCCCGCGGCCGCGAGGGTGGGGTTCGGACAAAGGAGGGGCGCGCAGGGAGAGGGCCCCGCGGGCCTCGCGGGTGGGGTGCGGAAGGACCCGGAGCCCCGTCCCCCGCCCCGGCCGCCTACCTGGGCGCTCGTCCTGCGGCGCCGCCGCGGCTGCTTGCTGGCCGGCTCGTGTCCGCTCGGGCGCCGCCGCCCCCTGCGCGCCCGCCGCCCGCCCGCCCGAGCCGCCGCCGCCGCCGCCGCCGC